GAAAGCCACACGGCCGTGTGGCCTGGCCGCGTGATCGGGAATTTCTGTTTAAAACTCGATTTTCAGCCAAAGGAAAGGGGAGAGTTGGGTTTTGGATCCCAAACACCCAAGGGACGAACCAAAGAGAGAAAGGGCGATCTGAGGGCATTCTAAGAGTGGAATTGGATGATTTCTTCGCCTTGGAAGCTCGAGGAACAAGCCCGGACTTGAAGACTGAACATCTGAAGATTCTTACTGCAGTCTCTCTCTTCTCTATGGAGTAACTTCCCTTCACTTAGGTTTTTAGGAACCCTAGCTATGTTTGTTTGATTGGATGATTGTATGAGTACTCTGACTTGATAATCTTGAGTTCATATTCAATCTATGCATGTTTTCATGATTCAATTCTGCTTTAGTCGAGATTATTGATTCTGCTTTGATCCTATGAGAGGGAATACCTGATTAGGTCAATAGAGCACCATAGATTGATAGTAGTGGATCGATTGCTTTAATCGAGGGTTGATTCACTGCTTTGTATCGATTGAGAACCTCTTTCGATAGAGGGAGTCTAGTTCAGAACGCCTTGATCAGTTGTTCTAGAGAAGGATACGTCCCTCTAGGCAATTGACTCAAGAGGGCCTTGTTCCTTTAGTCGAGACTCAAGGTCTAGTCAAGGATTCTCCGCATTTTGAATGAAATTGAAACAAGTTAGAAATCATCAATCGTTAGTCTGGCTAGTGGCTAGGGGGAATCATACCTAAGTGAGTTCCCAACTTGTAATTTGATTAACTTTAACTGTAGTTTGCTAGAGTAGTTTTAGTTCTTTCATCTTAATCTGGTTTGCTAAATAATAAACTGAAGCTGAGTAATAGTAACTCTAGAGACCCGTGGATTCGATATTTATCACTTGAGCCACTATATTGCAGTCCCTTCCATTGGTTACACTTGGCCATTTAGGTGTTGTGTCGTAGCGAGTCAACCAACATAGGCTTGACTCAACAACTCATTCAAAACAGTCACCCATGCATAAAATTCAAGACATCATAATCAAGACTAAGCAGTCTAGGTCCTCACTGGGGTATATAATATGAAACTGAATCACTCACTCCCGACCAACGGGGTCAGGACAATTTGATGCGAAAAATGCGCATGCTTATTCTCTCAATTCCTAACGTCTCTTCACCATGACGGCAGCCTCTGAATGCTAGAGTTCACATATCGAATGTCACCACTAACTAGTCAGGAGGTCTTAAACAAGGGCAATGCAGTTAAAAGCGCGATTCTATCTAGAAGCGAAAAATGGGTAAAATCGTAAAACGTAGAATCAAAGTGTAAAAGCGTAAGTTTTTGACGCAATCTCTAAAATAGCTAAAATATGTTAAGTACAACATATATTATGTAAAATGTGAGTGTGTAGATTTTAGGTAAGTGAATAACTATATGAATTTCATAATGAAAATGTAATATCTAACACATAAACTAATTTGTGTTGGGTCAAAAGTAGAGAAAACTCATAGCATCTTAATAATAAGCTCATAAACGTAGATTGTAACCCGTAAACGAGCTTGAGAATCCAAATTCTCATAAGCTGGTTTGAGTTACATAATTACATACGATCAATTAACTATAAACTTTATCGTAACCCAGGTAAGAGCCACAGGTGAAGATGAAGGGAGAAGACTGATAGAAGGTCAGCGGCTGTTGAGAATATAATTAAGTATCTTTTCAACCTAATATCAAGCCCCTATCTCGACACTAGTTGTAGAACGAGTGATGAATCGTGTTTTCCTTTTTTTATTTTTTGCTGATATGTCTCCAAAATTACATCATTTTGGGCCAATTAGCACATTTTTATGAGATCATCAAAATCATATTAAAACGCTTCAGAATCGTGATTTTACCGATTTTAAGCTATTTTACCCATGTTTTTACCAGTTTTCGTGATTAAGCAAATTTAGGTAGAAACTGAAACGTTTTGGTGGCCTGGATACGTAAAAACGTAAGTTTTTACGTTTTAATGCGCGATTTTGACTGCACTGGACACGGGTTCAGATGACTGGCTTGGGTCTTGGACATGGGGAAAAGGCCTTTTATGTGGTGGAAGTATTCATAACATAAGGTTCCATAGTTCTAAACTCAACATAGTTACCATTATTCAAGCCATTTACTTTCTTTCTGCCATTCTGCATTGATCAAGTTCTTTAGAGCACAAGAGTGAAAGAGGTCACAATAATGTTAGTATTTCTAAGCCAGACTGCTAAGAAACACTACTTAATGAGCATGATTCAAATTTTTAGTGGCGGCTCTCTTTTGCTTTCAATCATTTTTTTCATTTCTTGAGAGAACCACCACCTCTGCACATTTTTTTAAACACATGCCCAACTTCTAAGAACTACCTCCAACCCTCACATTATACCTAGCAAAAACAGCAGAGAACATGAAAAAGCCATTCTATGGAACCTCTAAGAGATGCAAAAAGGGTGATTTTTCAATGTAGACCGAAAGAAAGAAAATTACACGACTCAAAGGGGCTGACTAGGGGGCATGACACCAAGACAGTCAATTTAGTCGTGGGCTAATCCTATGCCTCCATCATCCTAACTAGTGGAAACGTGAATGCTACACATCATGAAAGAGGGATCTATCGCACACGAAAGAAATGAGTAGGCTCAAATCTCACATGGCTACCTATTTGCTCTATCCTTCATTCTGATTCCCTGAACTAGATGCATGAACGACTGTAGAAAATAAGTGATCAATCCAAGTCGCAGTTGCTAAGCAAACAGTTGAAAAACTGAACCCCTACACAACTCTACTGCACTTCTCAGTCGTCATTGGTTGTCTTAGTCATAAACAAGTTATCATGCATCAATGCTAACAACCAATAGATTCACCACATAAAACCACAGTGCCAATATGATCATGCAAATATCCGTACTTGGAGCCCTCAAATCTCAAGATTTGGACAGTGGACTAGGCTCCAAGACAAGCAAAACACATCATTCATCACACACATACATACATAATGGTACATTCTCCCCACACTTAAGCACGACATTGTTCTCAATGGAGAAAAGATAAGGAGGGTAGAACGAAGTTACCATGTTGGATGTGAAAGATGGTGGACAGGGCAAGTGGTGCATTCCAGAAGGAGAGAGTATTCGGAACACAAACACCACACAAAATCTCACATAGGTTGAGTTATTGACTCTAAAATCAAAGAACAAAACTTACTCAACCAAAGAGAAATAGGGAAAGAAATGCAAACCGACTGGTTGGGTTGCCTCCCAACAAGCGCTTCTTTCACGTCTTAAGCCGGACGGTGGCTCTAAAGTTTCGGTCCATGCTAGACTTCCTTGAAGTTGAGGTTCTCGTCTACGAGGCGGAGTCTCAAGTCACGAGCATGTGGTATGACAGGTGATGTCGGCTTGTGTACTTGATGAATATGAAGTCTCAACCCGTGAGACCTCTTTTTTTCTTCCTCACTTGTCTCATTGCCCCAAACCAGATATGACAGCATCAACTGACCAACATCTCATCTACCAAGAGGGACTGATGTCGATGTGGCCTTGGTCTGGCAAAGAGACACTGCAAATGGGTCCTTGCCAAGCAGCTCCTCGAAGTTTGGTGGAGATATCACACGTAACTCATAGCCGATGCAAGCCTTTTCCACCTCAACTTCATCCTCAGCCTGGACGTCAATTGCTTCTTCAACCCCCCTTCCTTCCTTAGAATTTGATTACTTCCTAGGAAAAGATCAAGAACTTCCTCTAATTCACTTTCGTCATCCTCCACAACTTCTTTCCTCATCCTTTCTCACTCTTCTTCTAGCACGGATTTGAGAGCAAGTCGCCATGCAATCTTTTCAATAAGATCAGCTTGCTTCTCCTCACGCATGCCCGCCTCTTCAGCGCTCGATGCGGGATGAGGAAAGGTATGGTCAGCTACAACAGGATATTTCTGATCATGATCATCAAGGAAGCTCTTCGTGACAACATTTGTATGCTCCACGACATTCTCATGATTGACTTCTTCTTCCTCCTTATCTGCTTGTATTGTAGCATAAAGGAAGTCTTGAGAAAACTGTGCACAAGCTTTCTCAATGACCTCTATATGCTTCTTTATGATCTGAAGGGTCTCCTCTGTTTCATGGGGAAAGGAGCAGCCAGTTTGGGCGATGTACTGGATGAGGATCCATCTCAGGAAATGATCTCTCAGGTACTCGAGCAATCTGCTCCACGAGAAGCCTCAAGTGATAGTTTGGATCTGGTTGTGGAGTGTAGCATGGCTCTATCGGATGGCCCGTGAAGGCTATGGCTAACTCAAGATCTGATGGCCCTTCTGGTTGTGGGAGGAATTCTTCTTGATAAGGAGATTGTTCCTGAAATACCTTGGGTTCTGATTGTTCTTTGTAGTAGGGGGTTGGTACTGAAACCCGAATTCATAGTCTTCTCCTCCTTGGTTGCTCCAGGAAGTCTCGGGGTAATACCACTCGGGTGGTGGTGGATACCCCCAATGATTGGAGAAGCCATGAGGATCCATATTTCATATCTGCACCAACAAACACAGAACACCCAAGTGAAAAGCAAAGGTGGAAAAGAAAAGAAAAATGCTAAAGTAACAAACTTCTGTCTTTCCAAATAATCTAGAAAGTCCCCGCCAACGACGCCAAAAACTTGACACACTAAAACATAACTCCTAACAATGACCAAGTTTAACCAATGAATGGGACTGCAGTATAGTGGCACAAATAATAAATAGGGTTAATACCACTACAACACCCGAACTATCGCAAAAATGTCACTTGTGTCCTATTGTATCAAATATTCCATTCATGTCCTGAACTATTTTTCTGTTATGTTGACTCATTTTGACCGTTAATTTTTAACATAAAGTCTAGTCAGCGTTGACGTGGCACATGACGTGGAATTTTAATTTATTTTTATTTAATAAAATAATTCAAATAAAGAACAATGAAAATATTTATAAAAAAACGTTCCATCTCCTCCATTCATCCTGTCGGCCCTTTCTCCCCGTTCACCCTTCCCGACACTGCTGCTACTCCGCTCAACAACGATAGCAACACCATTACCGTACCAGAAACTTCTTGCCTCCTCTTCCCGTTCACCCTTCCCAGCACTTGCTGCTACTCCGCTGAACCCCAAACCCCAATCTTAGCCTTCCTTTTCTCCCGTCGACCATTTCGAATTTCGATGAGAGAGAGAGAAAGTGAGCGGGAGAGTGGGGAAATTGGAGAGAGCGGTGGAGAGTGAGTTCGGCGGTGTCTTGTTTCTTGAGGCCGAGAGGTAGGTTGTTGGCGACTGCAACCCGACCCTACAGCTTCCCCTCCGACGACCAGCAGCCCGGAATCTAAAGCGGGCAACTCAACCCCTTTTTCCAATTCGATCTGTTGGACTTCTCCGGAGTAGCTACTCTAAAGTCGGATGCGCAGAGGTACAACACCCAATTTATTAATTCCTAATTAATTTCTCCCTACACAGGCAAATGAAGGAATGCGTAGAGGTCTAAATATTGTCCATTAAGAGACCCTAGAATTCGGATCTCCTTGAATTTGAATCATCGATGGGCCTTGCTTTGCCAATATGGATCTTGCAGTATTATCCCCCCATCAATTGTGCAATCTCTCGCGTCGTCTATCTTGCCCACCTTTCCCTCGTCCACCGGAAAGAAGAAGAAAGAAGGAAGAGGGCGGAGACGGTGAGGGCGGCAGCGGCAGCTGTGATTTGGTAGTTGTCGGAGGCTTTAGAGCCTTTGCCCGAGTTGGCCGGCAGTCGAAGCTCGGCGTGCCTCGTTCTTGACGGAGACGGTGAAGTCATGGTGGTGGGGGTGGTAGATGATGTCCACGATGGATGAAGATAAGTTGAAGCAAAATTTTAATTTAAATTTTTTATTTATTTTTTTATTTTATATTAATATTATATTTATTAAAAATAATACATGTGGCAATGAGGTGGCGTCTATGTGGTTGTTTGATTTTTGCCACATCATCAAAAGTCAACCATCACTTTGACCACCATCTAGTCAACTGTTATCTTTAACGGTCAACGAAAATGCCATGATACAAATGTCACAATATATCATACGTCGGGATATGAATGGAATATTGAATATTATAGGACACAAGTGGCATTTTTCGGATAGTTCAGGTGTTGTAGTGGTATTAGCCCTAATAAATATCGATTCCACGGGTCTCTAGAGTTAATATTACTCAGCTTCAGTTCATTATTTCGCAAACCAGATTAATGATTGATTTACTAAACTACTCTACTAATTAAACGAAGCTAAATTACTAATTACAAGTTGGGAACTCACTTAGGTATGATTCCCCCTAACTCCTCAATTAGGTCCAAGTTTTAATTCTCTTTGGTTGCTTTACTGTTGATTAAACTGCAGAAGATCCGACAATAGCTTGGAATCTCATAAGCTGACCAAGCCCTCTTAGACAGAATACCCGACGGGCGACTAACCTCCACCGGAGTACAAAGCTAAGGCAATACACAAAAATTTCCACTAATGAATGAATTCCAATACAAAGCAGTGAATTGACGGACTCTCATACAATCAATTCCCTACTACCAATTGAGAAAGCTCTCTTAACCCAATAAGATTCTATATATCATAGGTTAAAGCATAAATCTAATGAAAGTGATCAAGATTCAATTGAATCAACAATCATGCCGCAATTGATTAATACCATTCAGTATAACATCCAAAGTTTCAAACAAGAAAGATCCTAACACATGGAACTAGGGTTCCTCAAAATCTAAGTGAAGGGAAGTTACTCCATAAAGAAGAGAGAGATTACAGTATAACTTTCCAGATCTTCAATCTTCATGTCTAGACTTGTTCCTTGAGCTTCAATGGTGAAGAATCCTCCAAAATAGCTCCAAGAATGGATCTAAATCACCCTCTCTCTCTTTGGTTCGTCCCTTGGGTGTTTGGGATCCAAAACCAAGCTCTCTCTCTCTCTCTCTCTCTCCAAAAATCACAAAACAGCTTTATGCCCGCTGAGAATCGCACCCCCTACTTGCACGACCATGCAAATTGGAGTTTTGACCGTGCAAACCTCCTGAAAAACTCACACGGCCGTGCACAATATTACACGGCCGTGCACAATTTCTAGCATGCACTCCTATGATTCGTTGAGCTCGTTTGACCTCCGATTCATGTGTCGTTTGATCCCAGCTGCTCGTACTCTCATCCTCTTTCTTTTCATGACAAGCTTACATGATTATTTGTCAATAAAATGAGATAGAAATTCATTCTTCCTCAAGTCATTCCCGAGTTTCTCCCCCCGAGGTGCCAATTGATCTCCGATTGACTTGAAACTTGCGCCTAGGCTTCACTTTATGTGCTAGGACCTGAAATGTGACAAATGAACACAACCTAGCGTAAAATAGGCCAAGAAAGCACAAACTCGAGCCAAAACAATTAAGAAACGAGTGTGCAAACATGTGAAAATACGACGTTATCACTACTAAATTAGTAAAATTAAATATCAATCTGGTCTTATATGTTTGGTATCAGAGACTACTAAATTAGTAAAATTAAATATTAATATGGTCTTATATGTTTGGTATCAGAGCCTACACAAAGATATTGACCTACAAAATAAAAAATAAAGATTTTTATAAGATGTAGGATTTCTTTGAACAACGCAAAAAGAAAAAGGGGTGATTCTGCAAATTGGATAATGAAATATTCTAGGATTATTCTGTCATTTATAAAAGAGTGAAGACAGTAGTGGTACGTAGGCTGCAAACGAGCCGAGTCGAGTTGAGTTTTTGACTTAGGTTGAACTCGGCTCGTTTATAAATTTTTCAGCTCGTGCCGATAATCCAGCTCGAGCTTGACTCGGTAGAGCTCGATAAATGCTCAGTGTCACAACTTGTCAAGCTTAGTACAAGCTCGGTCAAGATGAGCTCGATTTGACATTATTATTGCTATAAATTGTGTACACATAAGAGTTTGAATGATAAAAAGAACATAAGAAACTATAAATAACACCTAACTCTCACACACATACGTATTAACAAGATAATGTTCATGTTCAGAAGAGTAATTAATCCTTCCACAAGTTCTTAACAAGCCAGCTCACGAGCTTAGCTCAATAAGCCATCGATTCAAGCTAGCTCATGAGCTTATCAAGTTGAGCATGATCTAGCTCAAACTTGGCTCGTTTACTAACGAGTCGGGTCGCGAGCCGGTTTGTTAACTAACAAGCCGAGTGTCGAACGAGTATTTTCCGATTCAAACGCTGAGTTGCTCGCGAGCGACTTGGCTCATTTGCAGCCCAACTGGTACGTCACCACCAATTCATAGACTTAAGTGGCATTTCTGAACCTATTTCTAAATGAGTGGTATATCAACTCATATATGAAACAAGATCTCTTTATCAGCTCCGCCAGTGGGTACATGTTCACATGAAAAGGGACTACGGAGGTTTTGGAAATGACGGTGTTGATGTGACTTGAATCGGACTATCAGCCACTACGGAGGTCTGCTCTTCATACGAGAGAGATCAGGCATAAGGCGTCCGGATCTGGTACAGGTGGTGAGGCATCGGGTTTGGCTGTTACAGGTGGAAAGGGAAAGAAGAAATCTGGTAAAGGGAATTCGAAGAAGAATTCCAAGGGTCCCGGTCCACAACCAGGTGATGCTTGTCACAACTATAAGGAAGTGGGGCATTGGAAGTACAACTGTCCCAGGAGAAGAGGGCAACAGAAGAAACAAGGTTCAGTTGCCGTGGCAGAAGTGGACAACAGTTCTGAAGACGATCTCGCCTTGGCTGTAGATGAGAAGGCACATCGTGGGGATGTGTGGTTTCTGGATACTGCAGCCTCATACCATATGTCTCCGAATAGGGATCGCTTCACAACCTACGAGCAGATAGACGGTGGGAACGTGGTCATGGCAAATTGAGTTGTCTGCAAGGTTGTTGGAATCGGGTCCATAAAGGTTCAGGCACATGATGGTTTGTTCTGTACCGTGAATGATGTCAGGCATGTTCCACGAATGACAAAGAACCTGATCTCCTTGAGTCTACTCGAAAGCAAGGGTTTCAGTTACAAAGGAAAAGGTGGAGTTGTGTATGTCTACAAAGGTGAAACATCCCACCTCTTTGAATTTAAAAAAAAAGACCTTTCTACCCCGGGGTATAGTTAAAAATCTCAAATAACACAAGTTTAAATAAAAATACCAAACTTAAATATCTCAATATCTCAAATCGAAGCCCTAAACACGTGGGCAAAACTCAACTTGTCCAAAGGAAATGAATCTCCAATCCTTAACTCTTAACCATAAAGACTTAATAACTGGAAAAAGTTCTCTGGTGCTTACTCTGACGCCTGGCTCGACATCTCTCAGCGACGATGGTGTTGAGTCCCTCTAGCTTGCTGCTCACGGACTGGCTGGTTAGGATTTCCTCCTCTACGATCTGGTGAGTGAGTTGGGGTCAGTCTACGCCCTTACGATAAAGTCTATGGTACTTTAGTATTCTTCTCTAAACACTTAACTTCTACTAGTGGAAGTTGTTTTGTACTTCCACTCGTAACACTTATAACTCAAAAATTCTTCGGGAGTTAAAGCTCCCTTCTTAAAGCTCAAAACTTGACTTAAATCTTTTTGACTGACACTGGGATCCCTCACTAGCTAGTCTGGTTGCCCACTCATACGTATGAGAAGCCATCTAGGCTTTCCTTAAACTTAAACTTAGTTAGGGAAGTCGTAACGATTCATCCCCCTAACATGTTAAACTTATCGTGGTGGCTCTTCACCACGATTCTCAAGGGCATAACTGCTGCCCAACTTAAATATCTCAAGAGCATAACTGCTGCTCTGTCTCAAAGATCTCAAAAGGCAACGGACTGGCGCTAGTGACTAAAAATACTTAAAACGACTTCACCTTCTTTGAAGGTGAGCTACTTCTTAAAAAGACCTAGTTTATTAAACTTTAACAATAACTTATACTCATAGAAATTTCAAAGTAATTAATAAACATTCACTTTCAAAGTAACTCAAGCAAAGCACAAATAATCAATCATACACATAACCAAACAACGATACCCAAATCGCTAAAATACTTAAAATCGTAATACTTAAAAGAATACGTAAAGCGTAGAATTTACCCCCTTTACACTCACCTTATTAAGCTGACTCCTCGATTCTTTACTCGAAGAAATCCCCCCCTAGCAGAATTATCTCGGTGAACCTATTAATAAGAAAGTCACCACTTTAGTCGACCTTTCTCGGTTTAAAATTCCCTTTTGAGTCACTAGGACATCCTCTCCTCAACATCCAGTCTTTGAGGCTCGCTCCCAAGGTCTCCTAACCCACTTTAAAATTTTTCTAAAACCAATCCCTTCAAAACTGACCACTTTTCCTAATTATTTTAGTCTTGGACGAATTTTCCACCTACCTTGAACCTTCTCAAAAATTCTGATAGTAATTTTCCTATAACAATCATAAATCCTTATACCTTGGAAAATTATCAAACCCTTATAAACTCCTCGGAATTATTTTTATTTAAATAAAACAAATGTTCGAACAATTTCTAAAATTATAAATACATCTTCAAAAATTCCCAAATTAATTTACAGTAATCTCCTAGCCCTGCCCCAATTTATAAAAATTTTAAACGCAAGAACAAACCCTTGCAGGGACTCGAGAAAAATTTAAACCATCCAAAACCAATTTTCTGAAAATTCCCAGCAGCTTTAGTGACCACCCAAACTCTGTCACTAAAGGCCTGATCGCCTGTTGCTAAAACCACAAAATTGCACCCTCAAGAAAAATACCAAATCGATCGATCTAACTCAAATGGATCGAGTTCCCTTACCTCCAGAACGTGCCTAGACCTAGATTTGACGACCCGGAACGTTGATCTCCTCGCTGACACCTTCAAAGCCACCGCTAATAAAAATCCGAGCTTCGAATTAGTCTAACGATAAATCGTGTTTAGAAATCGCGAAGGGGTTTGTGATCTTTACCTAGAACACGAGAGGGATGGGATCGATTGATTGGCGGCGGCTGGTGGGGTTTCCTTTCTCGCGGGACTGCTAGCGATCGGAAAAGAGGGCGGCTGGTGGGGTTTTCTTTTGATCGGCGCGGGGCTTGGGAAAGGGAGAGAGCGAGGGTTTGGGAAGTCTAAGAGAGGCGGCGGTTTAAGCTCTCTGGAAAAAAAAAGTTGGGGGAAATAATGGACAGGGTCGGTGGTGGGGAAAGCTGGCGGGTTTTGGGGTTTATTTATTATTAATTAAATTTTTTTTTTTTTTTTTTTTTTTGGAACATGGCCTGGGGAAATTTGGGAAGGGCGGCGGGTTTAAATGACCGCCCCCACCATGCACCTTTCTCTTTTTTTTTTTTTTTAAATAATAAAATAATAATTATAATAATAATAATAATTATTATTATTACTAAACCGCGATTGCAATTTTTAGTACGCAACTGACAACCCAACCGGTTACGTATTATGGTCGAACCATAACCCGAAATTCGGGGTGTTACATTTCCTCCACCCTTATAAAAATTTCGTCCCCGAAATTTGAACGGTAGATCAACCACTTGAACAATTTAACGCTGTCTTCGAAGAGACGATGCTAGTTGGGATATAACATTTCCCTCTCCCTTAAGAAATTTCGACCTCGAAATTGTAGGTTGAACTGGGTTGCTAGCAATCGTAAGTCCGGCTGGAACCCCCGGGTCTTATTATTGAAAAAATCGAGAAATGGGAACTAGAAAGAGTACCAAAAAAAAAAAAAAAAATGAGAGTACACAGAAGTTCGCCCACTACCAATCTAAACATCAACAAACAACTCTGGGTACTTCTCTCTCATGCTACTCTCTGTCTCCCAAGTCGCAGCCTCGCTGCCCTGGTTTCTCCATACCACCTTTACCATGGCAATCTTCTTCCTCCTCAACTCCTTCTCCTGCCTATCCACAATCTGGATTGGAACCTCCTCATAGGTCAAATCATCCTCCAACTGGATGTCCTCGTGTCTGATCACATGCTCCGGGTTGGATCGATACGCCCTTAGCATGCTGACGTGGAAAACGTCGTGGATCCTAGATAGGCTGGGAGGTAAGGCAAGTCGATAGGCTAAAGGTCCAATGCGCTCCAACACCTCATATGGACCTATATACCTCGGACTAAGTTTTCCCTTTTTACCAAATCTCATCACTCCCTTCCAAGGAGACACCCTTAGGAATACCATATCACCCACTTCATAACTTCGCGGGTTCCCTGGCCTCTCCGCATTACTCTTCTGCCGGTCTTGAGCTGTTTTCAAGTTCCGGCGAATCACCTCCACCTTCTCCACTGCTTTCTGTATCATCTCCGGACCCTCCAGCTGTCGCATGCCCTCTGCATCCCAGTACAATGGTGTACGGCACTTCCTCCCATACAATACCTCATATGGAGCTGCTTGTATCGAGCTGTGATACTGGTTGTTGTAAGCGAACTCCATTAAAGGCAAATGCTCATCCCAAGCTCCTTCCATGGTCAAGACACACGCCCTCAACAGGTCCTCTAGTGTCTGAATCGTCCTCTCTGACTGCCCATCTGTCTGGGGGTGATATGCGGTAGAGAAGTGAACTTTAGTGCCCATTGCCTTTTGAAGACTCACCCAGAATCGTGCCGTGAAGCTAGGGTCGCGATCAGACACGATACTAAGTGGAACTCCATGCAATCTCACTATCTCCCTCACATACAACCTAGCCAGCTCCTCCATTCCTGGCTTGAACTTGATGGGTATAAAATGAGCCACCTTCGAGAAGCGGTCCACAATCACCCATACTCCATCATTTCCCCTTGGGGTCCTCGGTAAACCATACACAAAATCCATGGTGATCTTCTCCCAAGTCCACTGCGGGATCTCCAATGGTAGGTGCTCAATGACTGGAGCTTGATGTTCAGCCTTGATCATTTGGCACTCCAAGCACTGGTAGACATGTGTAGCTACCTCTTTCTTCAATCCTGGCCACCAGAAATGCTCCTTGAGGGTACGATACATCTTAGTAGCCCCAGGGTGCATCGCATAGGGCGCAGAGTGAGCCTCATCCAGAATATCCTTCCTTAGCTTGTCGACATCCGGGACACACAACCTTCCTTGATACATTAGTACCCCATCTACCAGTTCAAATTTTGTGTCCTTCCCTTCTAACACTTGCTTCTTGTACTTCTCAATTTCCAAATCTTCACTCTGCTTCTCCCTGATTCGTTCCTGCAGCATAGGACGAATTTTCAAAGTTGCTAGCAACTTTGTTACCTCTTCTAGCTCCAAATCCACGTTCATGGCCCTCAAAGAGACCAACTCCGGTAAAGGGCTCTCCCTCTTCCTGCTCAAGGCGTCAGCCACCACATTTGCCTTTCCCGGATGGTACTTAATGGTGCAGTCATAATCGCTCAACAGCTCCATCCACCTTCTCTGCCTCATGTTCAACTCCTTCTGATCAGTCAAGTGTTGGAGGCTCTTGTGATCCGTGAAAATGGTGAACGTCTCGCCATAGAGATAGTGTCTCCATAACTTCAAGGCAAAGACCACTGCTGCCAACTCCAGGTCATGGGTGGGGTAATTCACCTCATGGGGTCGTAGCTGCCTGGAGGCATAGGCGATCACCTTCTTATCCTGCATGAGTACACAACCCAAGCCTTGGTAGGAAGCATCGCTATAGATGGAATACTCCCCACCGCTGGTCGGTAGTGCTAGCACTGGTGCAGAGGTAAGCTTCTCCTTCAGCAACTCAAACGCCGTTTGACACTTCTCGTCCCAAACAAATGCTTTCCCCTTCTGCAATAGTTGTGTCATAGGTCGTGCAATGCTGGAGAACCCTTCCACAAACCTCCGGTAGTACCCAGCTAAACCCAGAAAACTCCGCACTTCGGAAACATTCTTTGGTGGAGCCCAGTTTGTTACAGCTTCAATCTTCTTGGGATCCACTTCAACCCCACGCCCAGAAATCAGATGACCCAAGAACAAGACCTCCTCCAACCAAAAGTCACACTTCGAGAACTTGGCGTATAGCTTCTCCTCTTTCAATTTCTGCAAAACCACCCCAAGGTGTTCTTCGTGCTCCTCCTTACTTCTCGAGTAGATGAGTATGTCATCTATGAAGACAATGACAAACTTGTCCAAGTACTCGTGAAGAACCCGGTTCATTAGTGCCATAAAAGCTGCTGGTGCATTGGTCAGTCCGAACGGCATGACCAAGAACTCGTAGTGGCCGTACCTAGTGCGAAAAGCTGTCTTGGGTACTGAACCATCTGCCACCCTCAACTGATGATACCCTGACCGTAGATCGATCTTCGAGAACACCCTTGCTCCTTGTAGTTGGTCGAAGAGATCATCTATCCTTGGCAAAGGATAGCGGTTCTTGATGGTAGCTTTATTCAACTTCCTATAGTCATTGCACAGTCTCATACTGCCATCCTTCTTCTTCACGAATAACACTGGTGCTCCCCATGGTGATACACTAGGGCGTATGAACCCCTTCTCCAACAGTTCCTGCAACTGCTCCTTCAACTCCTTTAACTCCACTGGTGCCATACGGTAAGGAGGAATAGATATCGGTGCCGTGCCAGGAATCACTTCAATATCAAACTCTACCTCTCGCTGCGGCGGTAGCCCCGGAAGATCTTCGGGAAATACCTCGGGGTATTCCCTGACGACAGGTACATCTTCTATCTTCTTCTCTTGCACCTCCTTAACATGAGCTAAATATGCTTCACATCCTTCTTGAATTAATGAGAATGCCTTAACCGCGGAGATTAAGCACCCAGGGATAAGCTTCTTAGTCCCTTTGAACAAAGCAGTGCCCTTTCCTTCCACCTCCAGGCTAACCTCCTTCTTGTAGCAGTCCACCTTTGCTCTATTCTTTGACAGCCAATCCATACCCAAGATGACATCAAACTCGTCGAAGGGTAGTAAAATTAGGTTCGCCTCGAATTCGTGTCCCGCCACAGTGATAGCACAATCCCGAATGACTGAGTCTACTATAAGGGTATCCCCCACTGGGGTCCTGACCCCTAAATTCTGCCCCAACCTCACAAATGGAATACCTAAGGTTCTAGCAAGCTTGGTAGAAATGAAAGAGTGCGTGGAACCGGAATCAAATAACACAAAAGCGGGCTGGTGGTAAAGCGAGATCATACCAGTCACCACCTCAGGTGCAGCGTCAGCTTCTTCTCTCCTCATGGCAAACAGTCTTGGTTGCCCAGATGCTTGAGATCCTTGCCCTCGATCCCGCTCATTGCGGTTGAACCGCCCTGCATTTCCTCCCTGCTGGGGATTAGACCGGTTTGGCTGGTTGCCAAACTGTTGTCCGGTCTGAGTTCTTCCTCCTCCGCCCCGGACTGATTGCTCGGACTGGGCTCTCCCCTCTCCTCCCTTCCTAGGGCAATATCTGGCATAGTGGCCTGGCTCATTGCAGTGATAACAGATGCCTCCCAGATGCACCTTACACTCTCCCGGGTGGATCCTCCCACACTGGTTGCATGGGTCCCGAGGAATGTAGGTTGGCCCTGATCTGGTTGAGCCGGCCTGACTCTGGGTGGCTCCATAGTAGTTCTGGGATGGTCTCCTTCTCTGCTGACTCGGCTGTCCTGGCCCCTCAGACAGGCTAACAGCCTTCCTCTTGTTCCCTTCTCGTTGTATCCCCTCCTCATATAGAGCTGTATCCGCCCTCTCCAATCGAAGAGCCGCCTGATAGATCTCTTCCCTGTTGTTCCAATTCAGAATACTCAGCTGGCGGCGAAAAGCAGGCTTCAGGCTCTCCAGGTAATGGATGCGTTGAGCGGCTACATCCTGAAATTGAGGCCCTCCATAAGTAAGTAGCTTGTCGAACCTGGCCGTGTACTCAGTCACGCTTTCCCTGCCTTCATTGCCCCACTTCTGCCTGATCAGCAAAAATTCCCTCTGCTTCCCGATCCGGTAAGCCTCCGGAATGAAATGGTCTTTGAACAGCTGCACGAACTCTGGCCAAGTGATGGTCGGTGGATCCTCTCGACTAGCTGGCTGGGTAGTCCACCAGTTGTATGCAGCGTCTTGCAGCAAGGACACTGTCAGCAGCACTCTGTCCTCATCATCAGCTCTCATCTCGGCCAGTGTACGAGTGACCTTAGCTAGCCACTGCTCTACTTCCATGGGGTCTGTTGAACGTCCCCCCTTAAAATCTTCCACCTTTCTCTTCCGGAACCCTACATAGTCTGGTGGACGCCTCTCTGGTACTGGCACCGGTGGTGTGAGCTGCGGGCCAACACTTGCACTGTAGACGTACAGGGTTTCGTTAGATCTCAGTTATTTCTTCCTTGATATGGTTTAGAGTAGACTGGAGATTCTAAATTCTTAAAAGAAATCCTGACTGGTTTGGCAAAACCTTGACTTGAAATCTTTAAAACAAAACCTTTAAAAACTGAGACCGACATTCCAATATTTCTTGGGAACCAAGAAACAGAGGACGACCGGCTCTGATACCAAAATGAAACATCCCACCTCTTTGAATTTAAAAAAAAAGACCTTTCTACCCCGGGGTATAGTTAAAAATCTCAAATAACACAAGTTTAAATAAAAATACCAAACTTAAATATCTCAATATCTCAAATCGAAGCCCTAAACACGTGGGCAAAACTCAACTTGTCCAAAGGAAATGAATCTCCAATCCTTAACTCTTAACCATAAAGACTTAATAACTGGAAAAAGTTCTCTGGTGCTTACTCTGACGCCTGGCTCGACATCTCTCAGCGACGATGGTGTTGAGTCCCTCTAGCTTGCTGCTCACGGACTGGCTGGTTAGGATTTCCTCCTCTACGATCTGGTGAGTGAGTTGGGGTCAGTCTACGCCCTTACGATAAAGTCTATGGTACTTTAGTATTCTTCTCTAAACACTTAACTTCTACTAGTGGAAGTTGTTTTGTACTTCCACTCGTAACACTTATAACTCAAAAATTCTTCGGGAGTTAAAGCTCCCTTCTTAAAGCTCAAAACTTGACTTAAATCTTTTTGACTGACACTGGGATCCCTCACTAGCTAGTCTGGTTGCCCACTCATACGTATGAGAAGCCATCTAGGCTTTCCTTAAACTTAAACTTAGTTAGGGAAGTCGTAACGATTCATCCCCCTAACATGTTAAACTTATCGTGGTGGCTCTTCACCACGATTCTCAAGGGCATAACTGCTGCCCAACTTAAATATCTCAAGAGCATAACTGCTGCTCTGTCTCAAAGATCTCAAAAGGCAACGGACTGGCGCTAGTGACTAAAAATACTTAAAACGACTTCACCTTCTTTGAAGGTGAGCTACTTCTTAAAAAGACCTTGTTTATTAAACTTTAACAATAACTTATACTCATAGAAATTTCAAAGTAATTAATAAACATTCACTTTCAAAGTAACTCAAGCAAAGCACAAATAATCAATCATACACATAACCAAACAACGATACCCAAATCGCTAAAATACTTAAAATCGTAATACTTAAAAGAATACGTAAAGCGTAGAATTTACCCCCTTTACACTCACCTTATTAAGCTGACTCCTCGATTCTTTACTCGAAGAAATCCCCCCCTAGCAGAATTATCTCGGTGAACCTATTAATAAGAAAGTCACCACTTTAGTCGACCTTTCTCGGTTTAAAATTCCCTTTTGAGTCACTAGGACATCCTCTCCTCAACATCCAGTCTTTGAGGCTCGCTCCCAAGGTCTCCTAACCCACTTTAAAATTTTTCTAAAACCAATCCCTTCAAAACTGACCACTTTTCCTAATTATTTTAGTCTTGGACGAATTTTCCACCTACCTTGAACCTTCTCAAAAATTCTGATAGTAATTTTCCTATAACAATCATAAATCCTTATACCTTGGAAAATTATCAAACCCTTATAAACTCCTCGGAATTATTTTTATTTAAATAAAACAAATGTTCGAACAATTTCTAAAATTATAAATACATCTTCAAAAATTCCCAAATTAATTTACAGTAATCTCCTAGCCCTGCCCCAATTTATAAAAATTTTAAACGCAAGAACAAACCCTTGCAGGGACTCGAGAAAAATTTAAACCATCCAAAACCAATTTTCTGAAAATTCCCAGCAGCTTTAGTGACCACCCAAACTCTGTCACTAAAGGCCTGATCGCCTGTTGCTAAAACCACAAAATTGCACCCTCAAGAAAAATACCAAATCGATCGATCTAACTCAAATGGATCGAGTTCCCTTACCTCCAGAACGTGCCTAGACCTAGATTTGACGACCCGGAACGTTGATCTCCTCGCTGACACCTTCAAAGCCACCGCTAATAAAAATCCGAGCTTCGAATTAGTCTAACGATAAATCGCGTTTAGAAATCGCGAAGGGGTTTGTGATCTTTACCTAGAACACGAGAGGGATGGGATCGATTGATTGGCGGCGGCTGGTGGGGTTTCCTTTCTCGCGGGACTGCTAGCGATCGGAAAAGAGGGCGGCTGGTGGGGTTTTCTTTTGATCGGCGCGGGGCTTGGGAAAGGGAGAGAGCGAGGGTTTGGGAAGTCTAAGAGAGGCGGCGGTTTAAGCTCTCTGGAAAAAAAAAGTTGGGGGAAATAATGGACAGGGTCGGTGGTGGGGAAAGCTGGCGGGTTTTGGGGTTTATTTATTATTAATTAAATTTTTTTTTTTTTTTTTTTTTTTTGGAACATGGCCTGGGGAAATTTGGGAAGGGCGGCGGGTTTAAATGACCGCCCCCACCATGCACCTTTCTCCTTTTTTTTTTTTTAAATAATAAAATAATAATTATAATAATAATAATAATTATTATTATTACTAAACCGCGATTGCAATTTTTAGTACGCAACTGACAACCCAACCGGTTACGTATTATGGTCGAACCATAACCCGAAATTCGGGGTGTTACAAAAGGTTCAAGGAAGGTGCTGAAGGGCGTGAAGCATGGGACCTTGTATGCATTATAAGGGTCTGTGTTGTCCGGTTCTGCTGTAGTTGCATCTTCTCAGGTTCATCAGGAAGATAGGATCACTCTCTGGCACATGAGATTGGGGAATATGAGTGAATGGGGGATGCAAGTTCTGTCGAAGAGGGATCTTCTTTGCGGGCACAAGGTGCAGTAACCGTTTCCTTTGCCATATTGGATTAGGTTTAGACCCACATGGAGAAGTACTATAAATACTTCTCATACTCCTCTGTAATCTGTAATCTCCTCGATATAGTGAAACTGGATCTCTCTCGCCCGTGGACGTAGCTAACACACATCGTGTTAGTGAACCACGTAAATCGTGTGTTTGTATTTTTCGATTCTCGCTTTCATATTCTTGCTTTATCGATTCCGACAATTTTCCGATCCGTAGTAGCGCGTTTATAATAGACGGCGGCCACTACTATGGAAGGATAGGAATGAAGGGCTGTGGGGATGACGAGCGGTGGTTTTCCAATATCTTGACGAAAGGAACAGAGGGCTATGTGGAAGAAGGGACATCGCCCTCTTTCATTGAATTTAATTATTTGTTGTGGGTATTGTTCAGATTCAGAAGGAGAGGAAGGTGTTGTTGTTGGTATATTACTTCTCTTATGGGATGTACGCCATTTACGATGTGGCAAAGCCGCATAGGAGTAGAGGGAGGACAAGAAGCGGGTTGAGGAAGAGACTATCGACGGTGCACCGTCTTCCGCTCAGCCAACATCTATATTTAATTTTTTGTTTTCTGAAAATAAAGCTTATCTTATAAAACGATGTAATATCCCATGTGGCAAAGTAAAATATTTTACTTTTAGCCATGTCATAAAAAAATCACCCATCTCATTTAGTATTTTGCCATGTCCGAGCCAACTAATAGTTGATCGAACGAAAAATTAATAGTTTGGCTACTAATTTGTTTTTAAAAGGTTTGACTATTATTTTGTTTGAAAACCAAAGGTTTGGCTATTAAATTGTATTTACCCTAAGTAATATAACAATCAACAAAGTGCAACATTACTAAATAAACTACACAATCGTTCAAAATGCATGTTTACAACAAGCACGGTTTCGACATTGAAATAAAAAAGCTCTAACATAGAGCATTATACAACAAGCACTATTTCAACATTTCCTTACCTAATTTGATTGAGTATGATTGATTGGTTATCTGGGTTTGGCCGTTGCTCTTGACCTCTGTCTCTGTCTCTGTGATGCTGATGCTCTTGACCAGGGGAGGAAGACTCAAGCAGGGATCGGCGCAGAGGAGCGGAGCGGAGTGGAGTGGCAGAGTGGCTCGACCTATCGCCGGTCGCGGGTCCCTAGTTGCCACTCGCCAGAGAAGAAAAGAGAAACGGCAGAGCAGCGGAGCAGGGTCGGCTCGACCTTTCGCTGGTCTCGGTTTGCCGACTTGCCTCATTCGTTTCGACGGTCGCGGGTCGTAGCCTCGCGGGTCGCCAGAGGAGAGGAGAAGATGAGCCGCGAGGCTGGGTCGGGGAAGAAAGAAACGATGAAAGGCTCCCTCCCGATTCGTTCGTTCAGTCGTTCGATTTGAGATTAGGGTTTTACGAAGAAATGAGGTTTTTTCCTTTTTTTATGTGATTTAAATGATGACATTTTCCTTGAAATTTAATCTACCGCCAGTTAGAACGAAACTGGGCGGTATGACGGTTTATGCCGGTTAAGCCGGAAAAACCGGACGACATGGTAAAACGCATTCCAACAGTCTATCGTATCACTTCTGATCCGATTCCCGGTTTTTCTAGTTGAACTAAGATCCGGTTTCCTTATCCATGATAAAAAGTGAGACGGAGTGGTACGAAATTGTTATTCTCGCCTCACCAAAGTTACTACGAGATTGATAATACCCACTCTATGCGAAATTGTTATTCTCGCCTCACCAAAGTTACTACGCGATTTATAAGGTGTGAGAACGATTCGACAAAGGGAATTACAGTAGAGAGAAGGGAGAGCAATTTCCTTCTATTGAGAGTGGGTTTTGGAAATCGATCCCTTTACCAAGTGTAATAAATGCTATATTATAGTGTCCTTGGGTTGCTGAGCAGATCGTGAGTGACAAGATGGGAGTGTTAGACCGGATGCATGGGCCCCAATAGTGATACTGATTCACCCGCTGCCTGTGCGGCTTGTCTCCCCGCAGCGGAAACCGCATCATAATCTGGGCGGCTTGTCGTCCCGCGGTATAAACCGCGCAACTGGGTGGCTTTTCTTAGTTGCGGACGCGCGACTCGGTGACTAAGCGTGGTGCGGTGCCGCTCACGCGCTCTTCATAGTTCTTCCCCCAAAAATTGCCCACCCCCCCCCCTCCCAGCAGTAGGTAGTCCTTGAGTTCTCCTGCATTGTCTTTCGTGCTCCACGCTTAGCATTTTGCGGCTGCACTTTTTTTTTTCTTTGCCCCCCGGACGCTGATTATTTCGTGCCTTCCTCATTTGTAGTTTGGTGAATCTTGCATTAGTTCTCGTGCATTTTTAATTTTCTATCTGACGGCGTTAGCTTCGCATTGGCAACGCTTTAGCCTGCTACTTTTCCCCCGTTCGTTCTTAGTTTTTTCAGCTCTGGAGGGGGATGCGCCCTAGTCGATGGGGCGCTGGCAGCAAGGCGTCGACTGATCGACACGTGGCGCATCCGTGTCCTTTCGTTTAGGCAATGGATTTGAATTTCGAAAGTTGTGGATTGGACAGGCTAGCGCGGGTTCCAAGGGAGGAATACCCAACGGTGGGACTTCTTCTTTTCCCTAGATATGTCGGAGGCGGTGTGTTGGTTGCTTTTATTTGCTTTCAGTTGAACGAAAAAGAGTCTAAACTTTTTTCTTCTTCCTTTTCTCTCGTGTTCTTTGTTTGTTGCCCCGTCTTCACTTTCGATCACCGTTTCGTTGCCGTTCACGTGTTCTGGATTTAGGATGGACGCTGAGAAAATCCTCGCTCACGTAGTGATCGAGATCAATGATGGTGGTAACGATTCTTCTTACCCTTCTATAGATTTTGGGAAAGTAGGGGTAGGGTTGGAACAGGCGTCTCAAGGCGGAGCATTGCCTGAGACTCCCAGGTTTGATTCCGGCGGCGCAAGTGGTAGCGAGTTCCTTCGTAGTTCATTCGACAGGATGGCTTTCCAGAGAGAGGGCGACGAGGGTTTAAAGGATGTCTATTCCGAGGAGGATCATCGCGACGACAAAGGGTAAGGTTTGGAGGAAGGGAAGAGTTCTAGCACGACCGTCGAAGGTGTGGAAACGAATAGTTCCTTGGCCTTGTCATAGCCTGAGGATAGCTCCTTTTTCAACAATGTGCACACAACTGAGGTGGTATAGTCGTTGGGAGCACATTTGACTGACGCCAATTACACGATCCTGGATTGGGCAGAAATGTTCGGGATCACTGGAAGCCACAATGTGTGTTGGTGTTTTTTTAATATGGTATGTGGTCTGAACCTTACCGGAACACAACCGCATAGGCCGTACTATGCATGGTCTGGTCCATAGTATGTGTTCTAGTCTCTTAGTTTGGACCGTAGACCGTATATATGGTCCGGTCTGGTCTGGTCTTGACCGTTTCCCACACCTACCCAATAGTTTGGAATATAATGGTAATTATTGAAGTTACATGATATAAATGACATTTTCGCTAAAGGTTGGTATTTTTAGTGGTATTAGCCTTTTTTAATCAATTTTATTGCCAATTGGGAATCTGTTTCGTCAATCAAGAAACAAATATTTATCTTCCAGGCTAATCCTATACCTTTGTGTATGCCCCAAACTTCTACAAGGATAGTTGATCTGGTACCTATATTGCAGCAAAAACCACCAAGACAATCGCCATCCTTGTCTCTGTACAACCTCCTGTCATCATAAGCCCTGGAGTACCTTGTGCTAGGACTGCAAATGAGCCAAGCCGCTCACAAGCAACTCGACGTTCGAATCGGAAAAAACTCGTTCGACACTCGTCTCATTATTTAACAAGCCGGCTCGCGAGCCTACGCGTTAGAAAACGAGCCAAGCTTGAGCTAGACCATGCTCAGCTTGATAAGCTCGTGAGCTAGCTTGACTCGGTGGCTTGTTGAGTTAAGCACGCGAGCTGGCTTGTCTAGAGCTTGTCAAAGGATTAATTACTCTTCTGAATATGAACATTATCTGATTAATACAGATGTGTATAGAAGTTAGCTGCTATTTTTAGTTTCTAGTGTTCTTTTTATCATTTGAATTCTTATGTGTACACATTTTTCAGTAAGAATGCTTTGAATATGAATTTGTTTCGATGTTTCCATATGTACCCGCAAATGAGGGAGAATAGGTTATTCCACTCACCTGCTTCTTTTATCTCATCATCTCTTTCCAGGTTTTGAACCAACCAGTATTCTTGATCTACTTTAAAGAATTGGTGTTGGCGCTGCTAGGGGATCACTTTCTCCTAGACTTGTCTAATTTGTTGTTGTCTCGCAAGCAATGGATATTGGTTTTAATTTCAGCCTCACATAAGGAGCACTTATCATCGGTGGTGAGGTGCTTGTACTTTCTGACATTGTTGGTAGTTAATCTTCCTTTTGAAGTTGTCCACATGAATAAGCGCACTCTTTCAGGCACTTGAAGCTGCCAAAGCTTGCGCCAGGGAATCGAGCTCGAGCCGAGGGATAGCGGTGATGCTAGCTTGTAGGCCAATCCAGTACTAAACAAACCAGTCATTGTCGGTTTCCAGAAAAGATGGTATTCCTCGGTTGAGAGCGGGTCCAACAAGAAGGAACGTAGCTTGTCCCAGTAACTTGTTAGCTCTATTTTCTTCCATCATTTATCGCAATCCCAGTAATCGGCTACCTTCTTTCCTTGATCCTCCTAGGGGACGTCTGAAATTTTCATCTCAATAAGAGTTACTATAAAATCCAAGGATCCAACCAGAGATTAGTCTGTTTACCATTCTTAACATTGTGGGCAGCCCCTTTACGAATAAGTTGGGCAGTATGATTAAAGCTTTGCCAAGCGTTAGAACTTCCCTTTTTCGGTGAGAATCTGCAGTCCTTCCCTGCTATGCCCATATCTGCTTTTGAGCACTCTAGTCTATAAATCTTTATTTCCTGTAACTAGTCTCCATGCTCATTTTGCCAACATAGCTTGGTTGGTAAACCTAGTAGGTCGAACCCCAAGTCCTCCTCGATTGCGAGGAAGCTCCACCTTATTCCATGCCTCAGTATGTAGTTTATTTTTGTTGTCATCTTCCCCCCAAATAAAGCGTCTATTACACCTGTGAATAGAATTACACACACCAACAGGGATAAGTTCAGAAAATATAGGATAAAGGGCAAAGTTAGAAGTCACAGCCTTGACAAGAGTGACCCGAGATGCCATGGATAGTTGTTTTGTCTTCCAAGCGGCCAGTTTCCTCTGAATTTTGAGTAAAAGTTCCTTGTAGCGATTTTGAGTGATCCTGCCATTGATCGCCATCAATCCCAGGTATCTCCCTAGGTTCGAGGTGAGGGGAATCCCTGCCCGTGTGCTTAGGCGTTGAGCCTTATCTCTATGAACGTTGGGAGAGAGAAACATGGCCGATTTAGTGAGGTTGACACGTTGCCCAGAGCTGGCACAGAACTCATCCAGACATTTTCTAATGACATCGACTTGTCTGCCTTCTGCTTCTGCAAACAAGATTAGGTCATCAGCAAAAGAAGATGTGAGAGTTTTGGTCCATCTTTAGACAACGTCAAAGGTTTCCACAGTTTATCATCTATTGCTTGATCAATATGATGCGCTAATCTTTCCATACACAAAATGAAAAGAAAAAGGGAAAGAAGGTCTCCCTGAGGGACTCGCCTAGTTGGGACGATCGGATCTGAGAGGTGTCCATTACAATTAATTCTCATTTTGTTCCTTTCCACACAAGACATGATTATGCTAATAAGGGAGCTAGCAAGAAAGATCTCTCCCAGAGTGTCTCTAATGAAGTCCAATTTCAGCTGGCCATAAGCTTTTTCTAAGTCAATCTTGATCACCAAGCCTCCCTTATGCCCTTTCTGGTTGCGAAGATGGTGAAGTGTTTCTTGCAGCAGGATAATGTTGTCGTCGGTCTGTCTGCCCTTTATGAAACCTTTCTGATTCAGAGCAATGAGTTTAGACATCAGTGGGTTTAATTTGTTGGTGATCGCCTTAGTCACATCTTTAAGAATCACATAATTCAAGCAAATCGGTTTGAATTGTGCAGGCGATTCCAGCTGATCAGTCTTGGGGATAAGTACTATCGTGGAGTCCAAGGTGTCAATCGCCATCTCTCCTGTGTCAAAGAACTTAACAGCCATCTTAGTGAGGCTTTTTCCAACTATCATCAATAGCTTTTGATAAAAGATGGCCTCATAGCCATCAGGGTCGGGCGCAGAATATGGCTTCATCTCGAAAACGGCTTTGTGGAAGTCAGCAATCTGAAAAGGTCGATAGAGCATCATGATATCCTCTAGCCGTAGCCTAGGGAAGGCGTTACGGGGCATGAGATCTTCGTACTAGTTGTGATCTTCTGTATTGAGGTTTGTATAGAAGCTTAGAACTATGTGAACCAACTCTTATTGATCCTCAATCCATTTGCCATTGGAACCAACTCGTATTGAGGTTTGATAGTGAAATTATGAAGTATTTTGCTCCCCAAGAGTAACCCAATTCTCTTTGGCTCGTTGGAACCAGATCAATTCCTCTTGAGCAAGTACCTGATCCAGTTCCTTTTCCAATCTGATTTATAGCTTGGCAAACCGATTAGTAATAACCTGAAGACGAGCCAAGAGAGCCTTTTCCTTTTGTGAATTGAGACAAAAACATCTTTGCTCCATTGTTGCTGCTTTGGCGTGACTGCCACAAGCGCTTGCTGAAGAGGCAGGTCTTGGCTCCAATTATCTAATAGGAATTTCGAGAACCTATCATTTGTGGCCTAGACCGCTTCAGACTTGAACAGTTTCGTAGAAGAAGGATTAGGGACCAACTGGTTTTGAACAGAAATTAGGATAGGCAAGTGATCAAATTGGAACTTTGGGAGATGTTGCACTGTGGTATTGGGGAAGTTTAAGTTCCAAGTTGCATTGCAAAGAGAACGGTTTATCCCACTGGCTTTCCTAGTGTTTAGGGTATCACCTCTGAACTAGTAAATCGAGGTCCCTTGAAACACATATCTAGAAAATTCAGCCTCATCCATCAAGTGAGAAAAGCGTTGGCATCTACGAAGCGTAGCCCTAGAAAACGCTATTTATGCAATAGAGAGACACAATAATGATTATGTTATTTGTGGTGGCTCTACATTCTTAACTTCTCCCTTAACTTGTTTGTTAAACTATCTGATAAGGTTTAGATGCCCATAATCTATGGTTGTTCCAGATCGTTGTAGTGCGTCTATGATGCCTTCATCATTGAGCTCCTTACAATGAGTGATGCTCTTAGCGTGTTTTTTTCGTAAGTAACTAAGTTTCTATTCTGTGGTGTTTCGCAGCTGATCATCCATATGATTAATCAGAAGGATTCGACGCACGCGTTGAGTAGCAATCCTTCTCTCTGAGGTTCGGGTTTCACTTTGCATCGCGTGATCGTACAAATGATAAATCAAAAGGATTCTTGCCACGCCATAGTAGGTAGACTTACTATCTGAAGTTCAGATCCTTCGAGTCTCCATACAGCTTCATCGTTCAAAATCGTCATGCGTAAGTATAATAGGGTTGCACATATCGTGGCGAAACAAGTCCTCTCATCATTGGATCGTCAGTTGGTCGATCAGCTACTCTTCCTTAATTCTACTCGTAATTTTGACACCTTTTTTACTTCCAAACAAATGATTAACAAACACGGACCACACCTCTTTGAATAAAGTTCAAACAAGGGTGTTCAATGTTCTTGATGATCTACGAGGCAAACTAAATTACATTAACTCTACTCCTATGGAGGTTCAGTGAGAGCTCCGAAACTAAAACTATGGCTATGACTACACTTGCAGAGGAAAAAGGTAAAGATAAAAGGAAAATTTGACATTGTGTTAACTGGTGTGATTTTGGTGACCCTCTTCTATGTCATCTTCACCTCCTATTTATAGCCATCATAAATAAATGCCCCAAGAAACTGCTCTGCTGACGTGGAGTGACGGTTACCCTCTCAACTGCTATGATGGTTACCCTGATGTTGGAAGTGGGATCCTTTTCAGTCTTGACCCCCTCCTCTTGAGACCTCAACCTCTGCTCTTGGCATCTCCTCCGTAGTTTTCCTTATCCATAGAGTAAAAATGGCTAAGGCATGAAGGAATATCATGTACCACATATGGGTGAGTATTTGAATCACATGAATTAAAAATGGCAAAAAATACTTCACCATTAGTAGAGTAATTAAAGAGACAACGTGCTCACATGACCCTTTTGCCTTGGCCATACCATGGCGGTGTACGTTGGTAAACCCCTCAGCATACCATTGGGGGCATCCCCTATGGGGTCATATGGATCACCCCACCGCTATATTATCCTCATGGGAGCTGGCCTTGGTGACCCCCGCACCCCCTGATCATACCATAGGGGTGGTATGTTGGTGGTCCCAAGACCACCTCATGGGGGTGCTCCTTGCCACCCTCATCATCTTCCATACTTAGCCACATTTTAC